CAAGACTCTTTTTCCAGGCTGGTCCCCTCCACTGGGGCATAATGGCCAATAGCATTAATGAATGTTTGAACTTGTGGTGAGGAACCGAAGTATTGTACTGGGAGAAAAAACTCACCACGAGAGGGGTAACAACTCCAGGGCTGCCATCTCCTAGCCACATCTCACAGCCTCCCACACCGACAAACTTGGTAAGCCTGTGCCTGGCTCCCATCCAAGTGCTGACCAGACTCAACTCCCTCTACTTAGCTCCAACGATGCAGTGAGATTGGCCGCATTTATAGGGCGATCCGATCATAAATAAACCGTTCAGAATATTTACATGATAAAAATTTATGAGCATACATTTGGGTGGCCCTCGGCGGAGTTGGAAGCCATGGGAGGGGCTGGAGTCGCGGGAGTGATGATGCTGCTGCTGCTGCTGAAAAAGGGGCCGCCACCTGGCCCTGATTACGCGATTGTAGCGACAGAAAAGTACACCACATTCCCCGCGGGACTCTTGGGCAAGCGCAGTGGGGCACAGAGGAGGGGTGTGTGGGGGGAAGAGGTGGTGTAGTGGTTAGCGCGCTGCGCTACGGACCCGGAGACCCGAGTTCAAATCCCGCTCACGGCCAACGCCAGTGGCGATTTTATGAACGGTTTGGGGCCTCCCCTAGGTCGACTCAGCCTCAAATGAGTACCTGGTGCGGTGTGTATACATCGCCACTGGGGAGACAAAGGCGGTCCGGCGTGGTGCTGGCCACCCACCCCCTCGTGTGCCGTGCCGGCCTTCAAAAGGTGCTCGCTAACACAACACTTGCCCCAACAGTCTGTTAAGGCTATACGGGGGATCTTTATCTTTGTGGGGGGTAGGTGCTTCGGGGGCTCGGGAGCGGTGGGGGGGTCCTCTGTGGTGGACTATGTACTGTGAGGTGCGTGTGGTGGGGTTCGTAAGGTGTGTAGCGTTGGGTGTGGCGTTGTCAGATGTGGTGTGCGCGGTGCAGCGTATTCGGTGTGGGGCTAGGCGCTGTGTCCATGGTGTACTGTGTAGACTGTGTGGCGTGTGGAGCAGGGTGTGGTGTGTGGAATTATCGAGGACGTGCTAGGCGGTGATGGCCCTGTGTTGTGTGATAGAGGGGGTGTGGCGCGTGGGTTAGGGTCTGTGTGATATGTGTGGTGAAGGGTGTGGTGCGTGGGTGAGGCCCTGCGCGATGTGTGGTGTGTGGATTAAGAGGTACATCATGTGTGGTGCCGACTGTGTGGTGTGTGTCTGTCTGTCTGTTTGTCTGAGTCTGTTGTGTGCGGTGTTGGCTGTGTTGGTGCTACTTCACGAGATGAGTGCCCTGTACTCAAGTTTCCTCTCCGACCCATCAGCCTGTGCGTTCAAGCACAACACATTGGGCACCATACCACCCAGGAGTACCCACAACTTAAATCTTGACTTAAAGCTTTCGTGGCTGCAGGAAGTCATTTTCTTTGGGTCTTTCGGTGAAGTCACGTAGATGGGTACAAATTAATAAAAATAAAACATTAAATCAACAAAAAACCACGACGTTTCTATTACAACACAAGCGATCGTCATCCTCCTGATAGCGACCGCTTGTATTGTGATCGAAACATCGTAATTTTTGGTTTATTTTATATTTATTATTTTTATTAATTTGTACCTATCTACGTGACTTTACCGAAAGACCCAAAGAATATGAACACCCACAACTTGCCCGTGGTTTTACCGCACAATCAGAGAGCAATTTGATAGAGTGGTGCGTCACCTAAATACCAAATACGTTACAGAATTATATGCGTGTGTATTTCAACAACGAAGGTCACGTGCACTTCAATACAATATACCCCATGATATTCGAAAACAAACATATTCGTGAACAAAAGCTAACGTTCATTGTAAAGGTTATTGGGTTAGATCGCGTAAGTATAACTGTGTCGTAACCCTGCACCACCCGACACAGCCAGTAATGTTTGTCACGTAAAGAAAACGCGCCGATTAGTTTACTACTTCAGCCCACCGGTGTGTTGGAGAGTAAATCCACAACATTCACAATTTGAGTAGTACGACGTTTCGCTGGTAATGACATCCAGCATCATTTGACAATTTTGTTTACGTGACAATCCTCGCTGGCTGTGTCGGCTGGTGGCGGGTTACGACACATTTATACTTACGCGATTTAACCCCAATTTTTTTTTTCTATATACATGAATAATATTGGTCGCGAAAAAGCCTACGTTGTCATAAAGCTAACGCGTAAATGTAATCGTTATACTTGCACGGTGGGCCCGTGTATACCTGAAGACGATAGGAGCCTAGCTGCATTGGGGTGAGTTAGCCAGTGTGAGTATATAAATAACTGAGGTGAGGGAATGACCGCTGACCATAGGAGGCCAAGGCGGGCCTGGTGCTCGAGTGTTGATTTATATTTGAAGGCTGAGTTAGGCAGCGATATAGTTTCAAACTGTGCGCTGCGGCCGCATATCGAAGCGACCTCGCATTGTCGCAGAGGTTCGAAGGGGGCACTGCAGAAGAGTTCCTGCTCACCACGTTTCATGAGAAACGTTTCATGAGAGAAACGTGGTCCGTTTTTGGTGCCTTCTAGACAGACGGCTTACACCAAAGAGACGTAACAACCTGTAAGTCTGGGTGTGGTCTTCGCACACACCTGCACTGCCAGTGGCGCGCAGGAAAACGTTTTGTGGATCGCACAGAAACGTCGTCAGACTTCCAAACCCACTGGGCTGCGTGGCTGCCAGGAGTAAGGCAGTACAGCAAGTAGGCTGTGCTCACATCTGGCAACAAGTCTCGAGATTAGGCGAGCCTCGCCTGGATAAGTCAATTGGAATATAATTTTTAAAAAAAACTGCTATCTCCCCTCTTTATTGTATTTCATCTCCGTAAAAGACATTTCGTTTTTTTGTTCAAAGGATGTCGTCTGATTACCACAGGCACTGTTGGTTCCCGCAGACAACCAGCGTTTTAAACATCAAAGGCAACAGACGGTGGTAACCAAAGCGCTTCTCAGAAAACTAGCGAGCCAGATGGTAACATAATGAGCACCAGGACAGGGCTTGCCGCAGCTGCAGGTGAAAGAGTCTCTGACCGGGGAAAGAGGCGAAAACCTAACGGGTGTCGAGACACCCCACCCCTCGGCATAATGGCACATCCCACAATTAAGTCCTCACACTTGCATTGGTCTGTGAGGGCTTTGACATGTCAGCAGGACGTACCATTTCCCGTGGAGGGGGGGGGGGGTGTTACGCTTGTCCCCTCACCCTTTAGACACGCCACTGATGGACAATGAGAACGGCCCGGTCCTTTTTTTGTCTTCTTTTAAGAACCCTGTGACCCTGATTAATGCTGTTGCTGCTGCCTGTCCACAGTACAAACATTGTCTCTGAAAGCTTTTTTTGATGCCTCGTCCCAAGATGACATCACTGAGCAGTTTTTTTCTACGAAAAAATGGCCCAACAAATCTGCTTCATGGCGTGGTTTAAACCTCCGATGGTCCAACACGCAGCAGCAGCAGAGAGAGATAGAGCAAGCTGTATAAATGCGTTTGAATTTATAATCCGCACACACGGCATTCTTATTACATGCTGCTTCTCGCTAACGATCATCTCACATACCACGTTTAAAGTTTGCGTGTTGGCATGGTCTTAGGAATAAAATGTTCAGAGTTATACTTACCCCCCCCCCCTGCCGCCGCCAACAAAAAAAAGTTTAAACTTTTTAAACGTGGGTCATGTATTCATTTTAGCAGGCTCCACGCGTCTGCTGCTGCTGCTGCAGGAGAAGCAATGACGTGACTTTTTGTTGTTGCTGCTGCTGCTGCAAATAACTTGGACGGCGTCGGTACAACCGTTCTCGAGTTTGCAGCGAGCCGCAAACTGTACTGGGCTCCCGTGAGCTCATGCCCTTTGTTTTACAGTGGCGCAAAAGAGAGAATTTGGACGTTCAAATTGACCAAACCTTTTTTTTTACAGAGTTAGAAAAAACTGGAAAGATAATTTTTCGCCACCAAGATCTTGGATTGTGGTGGCGCGGTTGGTTTTGTGCGCACGCAGTGCCTGCGGGTGACCTTCCCGAGTCTCGATTTCTGGCCACGGCTATGTCAGTGGCGAGAAAAAAAATATCTGAACCGATTCTCCTTGACCAACCGGCATCAACGATTGTAGTGAAGTATGGTCAACCCCCCCGCCCCCCCCCCGGAACCAAACAGAGCATGGGGAGATGTTGGTACAGCAGGGGATTTGGCAAATCGATGGACATTTTTATAATGCCTGTATGTGATACATTGCTAACCAAAGCTAGCAATGTATCACATGGAAATTACGACTGTCTCCATTATTGTAATGTTGCACAATTATATTGAAGAACATTTACATAGACGGAGAGCAGTCACGTAGGGTCTTGTCTGGCAGTTTAAACCTTGCACTTCAAAGTGGCGCTGTGAGTCCCGTCCTGATATTGATGCTCACGTGTAGAGCAGTACCCGCACTAATCCTCCACATTGAGAAGCCGCCCTTTTACACTGGGAAAATACTGCTCGTGGAAAGCACGGGGGGGGGGGGGGGGGGTTGATGTGGCCAGATTTATTTGTTTCTCTCAATGCTGATGTCCCTAACAACTGCAGCAAGTCCTTATTTTAGTCCGAGTCAAACTAGGGGAAGACCAGGCAAAGTAAAAAAATATAATTATCACTGGTGTTGTTCGTGGCCAGGAATTTAACTCGAGGTCCAGGATCATTAAGCAATTTTCTGGGCATCACACCACTGCTACCCACCCACACACAGATGTGCACTCACCCACTTCCAACTTAATTACTCACGCAACCCCACCCACGCACTCAATCACATCGTAAATCACTCACTTATCTGCTCACTCAACAGCTCACTCACTCAACTTACCCGTGAATTCACTCACCCCACTCACTTACCCCTTTTTGCTCACGAACTCACTCACTCGTTCACTCACCCGCGTGGTCACCGTGTCTCAACTCGTGCCTTTTACTCACCGACTTCGGAGCCACAGAACAGCTCCTGCGGGTGGCCCATCATGCAGGAGCAGGCGTCGACCACCGACTTGCAGAGCGACAGCACGGCCAGGCACAGGAGAGGGCCCATCGCACCCTTGACGTGACCTCTCATGTCTGCACTGAAATCCTCTAACGTCCCAACGAGATTTTAAAAAAAACGAAAACTAAAGCAGACGGAGGGAGGAGGTGGGGGGGGGTAAAAGACAAAGATAGTTTAAACTTTTTTTCTCTCTCTCTCTCTGCAGCGTTAGGAATGTTCAGGAATCGTCGCACGTGGGGTGGGGGAAGGCTTGCCCACTGCGAGTGACGTATGCCGAATAACGTGCCGCACACCACTCGACCCACCGGCTGACTTGCCCGTTGCTGCTGACGGGGAGGAACTAAAAACAAAGTTTTGCGATTCTCTCTCTCTCTTCACGGGGTGCGGCGGTTTTTAAACACCACGGCAGACACCGCCCACACGCGTCGCCGGCCAATGGGAAGGTAAAGGAAATTTTTGGTCATTGCCCTCTCGATCGCAACGCCACCCGCGGATGCGCGCGCTTCGCGGCCACGAAACGTGCCCAAGTGCGTGTCGCGACGGGAACCGACTCATCGTCACACCGCAAACTTTCTTGATTTTGCAATTCTGGTGGTGTTGGGGGCAGTAGGTGAGTGTGGGGGGAGGTTGTAACACCCCCGCTCTCTCTCCTTAAAGAAAATACCGGAATATAAAAAAACGAGTGACTTTGTGTCAATTAAAAAAATAGTTATTTTGTGGTCGTTCGCAAGACATCAATGTGTTCGCTTGTGAAAATATTCTAATCCCGAAATAGTACGAATGACCAAATGAATGACTGACGTTAACGTTCCGTTTAATATGGCAAATGTGAATGCATAAGTGAGAGAGAAAAACGTGGGTAAACTTCATTAGCCTTTTAGAGTTTTCAAAAGTCAACTTTGAAAGGAACTAGTTTCCAGATTCAAGAGTGTACGTGTGAGCTATCAGTGAGTGCAAGAAAAATATTAATCGTGGTTCATTAGTTAAAATGAAAGTGACTTCATTAGCACACATAGGCACCATAATTGCGAACCTCAAATAAATGCAGAGCACCAAAATTAAATCGAAGGTGGGACATTGGGTGACTGCAAAGTTCAGTGGCAAAACTCTGCACCTCTATTGCTGATCAAATGAATCTAAAGCGTTTGAATACTCAGCAGACGTCTGCAAGATTCACTTCTGATTTGAAACGCTCCGCTAATGCGCGCATGGGAAATCAAACAAAGGTCGATAGCCGCATGAAACCCACGTGCCTGTAAGGATTTTCTATTCCGCAAACTAAACCAAAATTCATTTTGAGCATTCTGGGGTAAACTTTTCATGATGCTCGTATTGACTTGTGGGTAAAATGACAGCGTGCATTATATGGTTATAGCAATTAATTACTACAGGGCCACTGCAAGATAAAGGCCTCCCCATGCCATGCTGGGCATAGGGATTGTCTGACCATGCTTCACTCTGCCGGTCGGTATGAGTTGGTGAAAGGGACGAGGACAGGACAAGTTCGGATATCACTCGCCACTGGTGTTGGCCATGGCTGGGAATTGAACTCCCGCAACTCCGATTAGCACGGTTGGCTACGTATGGTGCGAAAGACGTTCAACATACATACATACAACCTGGGGTCACTGGGTTCAAATCGCAATGCACTAACCACTGTGACAAAGCTACAGTCTCCTCTTCCTTAGGCACCTTCATTTCAACCCCCCGGCGATGCCCCCATTTAAAATATGCGCTCGGACAACATTGGCACATTTCTGTGCTCGAGCCAGCCAGCGGTGGCCTTAGCACAGATGGGAGGGGGGGGGGGGGGTGAATCGCTCCAAGTCAACATTTAAACCATTTCGCTGTGCATTCAGAATGTGGAAATCATGCACCAGGGGTGTAGTAGTAGCGGCACGGTGGTTCCATGACCGGCCTGGGCTAACAGAAGTGGTGCGTGATATCTGCACCAGTTCCAGGCCTCACCCCTTCACCAACCCACACTGAACAGCATGGTGAAGTATGGTTAAATAATTCCGATGACTGAAATGATATTGGGGGGCTTTAATCTAGAAGAAGATTGACAAACGGCTCTATAATATTTGTGATGATATGGTGGCCAACCGTCAAAATTAATAACAGAGTGGTAGCCGAGTAATGGAACGCGTCCGAGAGGACAACCACTCTAGAGAAAGTGCTGGGTGGATTGTTACAGGGCAGGGATCACAAGAGTGGGTGACGGGGCTTGGTGAGCGGATTGAACATGGCTGATGACACATAATGTACCATGATGCTTCCCATAAATTATTTTGGCGAGTGACGTCACTTCCCTTGCATTCCATTTTCCTCCTGCACATTCCAGCCTAATTAACTGATTGGAACGGGCCATCATTATTACAGGGTCCTAACAGCCCAGTCACGCCACCCACCATCCCACCCTCGGACCACCATCAGGCACCCGATCCTCACCTCTTAACATTTGAACTGCAGTACACTGACGAATTAATGAATCATTCTTTAAATGAAACGTTCTGCTGGGGTCAAACGTTTTTAATTAACTAGAACACGACTGTGAAATGATTCCCAACTTCCAACTAAGAAATTAGAGGAATGGGAAGAATGTTGAGAAATGTCTAAACGCCCATAGGGTTAGCACGATTACACATTTAGTTTAAGCTTGTTTTAAACATACATCAGAGGTCGTAGGTCATGCTTGTCTCGTAAACAATGCCACAAGTTCTTGATTTCTTCTGGTCAGAAGGGACCCTGGCTTGATTCTGTGTGGAAATGCAATACTCGACTGATGTGACTCGCAGAGAGGGAAATTTAGCTTGTTGTTTTCAAATAATAAATCATATAATTGATAAGATGGTTGACAAATATGATACGTTCTTAAAATTATTTTGTAAATGCAATAAGTCCCTATTGATTTATTTGTAAAACTTAGGACTCAATTTTAAATCACGTTGCACAAAGTCTGTATCTTTTACAATACATTACTTAAAATTAGAGCTGATGAGCTTAATTTGTCCACGTGCATGAAGTTAAAATTGTTGTTCGTGCAATAAAACAAAAGTGTATTAACTATATACGTGCAAATCACCTACAGGCAATGTATAATATACATGTTATTTGACCGATGGTAAATTGTCAGGTTTTCAAAAAGACCGCTGAAGATTTTAATTTTTGGAATAAATTTAGAATTAATACAAAATAAAGGTCACACTTCAAGCTCCATTAGCTAATCAATGTAGCTATCTTTTTTGCAAATCAGTGTTGGCGGCTTTCCCGCACAGATCACAGATTTTTCAGAACCGTGCTTCATGTCCATTGCTTGCGACTGATCACATCCTCCCCGTTACTCGAAATCTTGCTCATCTCTGCAGTCATTAAGCCACGTCTCATCCACTTGCAGTCATTAGCAACACCACACACAGCCCAGGCTTGGCTCCTTGAGACCCAGTCCCTGAGTAAGGTTGCCCCCTGTCCTGGTTTTCCCAGGATCGTCTTCAGGTAGCTAACCTGGGAAATCTGTTTGCCATTAAAAGTACTGGGGTTTTTTTGACAGTGCTGTATCTTTCTTCCCAAGATATCCCCAGAGATGGCTTGGGGACATTGTCTCAGCTCCCGTGCTCCACCTTGGTCTTGAGGGTGTGGCCTCAGTCCTAGAACTTGGCTAGGAGGCACCAGCCTTGACACTGGCCACTGCCTCAGCCATGGGGCCTCACGATGCAGTGGAAGCCAATGGAAGGGACTCACCAAAAAGGATGTCCACCACAGAGATAGCGATAGCATCAGCTCACGTGCAAGGTGGATTGTTGCAATGCGAAACCGTGAGTAGATGATGGATAGCATCAGCCTGTGCAGGCTTTCATCCAGCGTGCCAAATATCGTGGCCGATGATGAGGACGCTTACGTGCAAAGTGCCACCCTTCCCAGAATGGAAGTGGCGGAATACGGTGTGGGACAGACATCATTCGGACAATTGCACAAGCGCGACGCTACGTCGTGGCTCATTTGCACTTCGTCCCCCCCCCCTCCTTCATCGGTTCCAGGGTCTCCCGTGGGCGTGTGCGCCAGGGCCGTGGTAAACAAGCGCGCGATTCTGCGTCGCGGTGAAACGCTCCACTGTGCACGCCCGCGCACATGACGCGCTGTGACCCGTCGCTGGGTCGTTACAACGCCCCCCGCCCCGCCCCCGCTCATTCGTACAGCTGGCCACTTCTTCGAGACGGACTTGTTCTGTAAAAAAAAATTCCGCAAGCACGTGACGTCTCCCGGTGAAATGCGTCGCCGCGGGACGTGCGGTATCGCATGCGTTTTTATTCGTGCGTCACGTGTAGGTCACTGCCTCTTTTCCCGATACTCGGCCCACTTTACGGAGATTTGCAACGTGCAGGCCCCATCAGGACAACAGTGGTGCCTGAGCTTGTATGAGAAGCAAAGCCGGGGTCTCATGAAGCGAAGTCGTTGAATGAATGAGTCCTCTTTGAGCGTGTTCAAAAGTCTCTTTCCCCGAACCTCGGCCCACCTTCCGTTGAAATTTTCAACGTGCAGGCCCCTTCAGGTCAAGAGTGGTGACTGAGCTTTTTATGGGAAGCTAAGCCAGCGCTTGATAGAGTGAAGTCGCTAAATAGACCTAGTCCCCTTTTTAGCGCGTTCACATGTACACAAAAAAACATCGGTGCGTTCATGCACGCGCGACAAAGGTGACACGAGTAGCATCGCGCTGCTCTGGCAATGTCGACGGCAGCGAATATAGCCGCGTAGGGTCTCAACAAAGCCGTTTTTCATTACCAGCAAAGCAAAGTGAGATAGCAGGAAGCCAGCTGAGCACGTGCCATATGATTAATCACGATCGATAACGTGTGGTACCAGACACAAACATCAAATGTGCAGTATTCGTGGTATCAGATCTCAGGAACTCCCCAGTTCAAATATTCTGATAAGAGACCTGCACCTCCAAAGCAGCAACGCCCCAGCCTCAGATAAATTTTAAATGAGGGAATTCATTAATCCAGGGGTAGTCTTGAGGTTTTTTTTGTTTAGGGGTGTGGGGGGGCACCCAGTGGGAAACATTCATGATGCCCCAGGCCATAGATATATCGATTTTGTTTACTTCAGCAGGAAGGGCACAAATACGATTTAAGGGGTTTTTTCAGACAGTACCATAGGGTCTCCTGCAGCCACTGCTCTGGCGATAAGCATCTAAACGAAAAAGGAACACGCCAGGGTGGTGACCTACGCCATTAAACAGAATAGCCAAATATGGGTCTTAAATTACCTTGGCAGCTCAGTAAGTTGTACTAATGGTGAATTTAGTGATGGAGATAGCGGTGGTGATGATGATGATGATAATAATTTTAATGGCCTTAATGACCATGATAATTATAATTATGT